GGGGACAGAGTGACAGGGTGGTCAGGGAGGCTTCTGTCAGGAAGCCACATGTGAACAGAGATATTTGAGCCAGCCAGGAGGACATCTACGGAGAGTGTTCTGGGCAGAGAGAAGAGCTGGTGCAAAGGCCCTGAGGTGGGTCCAGGCTTGGTGTGTTTGAGCACCGTGTGGCTGAAGCTCAGAGAATAAGTGGGAGCGTGTTGAGAGGGCAGGCCAGCTGGCATGGGCATTGTGGGCCATCAGGAGGTTTGGACTGGGGAGGGGAGGCGGGAGCCACAGCACAGTTCTGAGGAGAGGAGAGACTGGGCTGATATTTAACAAGGGAGGCTGCCTCCCTGGCTTCCAGAAGGGAAGTCACCAAATCTTCCTTCTGGGGCTGCCTTCCCATTCCCAACCAGGCCCAAATGCTGCATTTTAATGCTACCTAATGAGGAGGCTCTCACAACTGTGATTGAAACAGAAAGTCCACGTGCCTCTGCCATCTGTCTATCAGTCCAGAGAGACTCATTAACTCCAGGGATAGGCACCTCTGAGTCCCTGCTGCCTGGAGGGAAATGGAGACATCCAGCCCTAGCAAAAGGGCCTCTGACCTCCACGTCACAGCCTGGGGACAGGGAAGAGGGGGCCCTGCCACTTTCAGTGAAGAGCAGGCAGGAAGCCTTCACTGAGGTCATGGGTTGTATAAACCGTCCAGGGCCTGGGGACTGAGCAGGTCCTTTGTAAATGTCAAAATTATCTGCATACTGGCTTCCCTTGCTCAGATGCCTGAACACCCTGTAAAAGCTGAAGGATCCCATAAACAGTAATGGAACCTGTAAACAACTGGTGTTTGCACTCATATGCAAACTCTAAAGTGCTTTCCAATGGGGAGAGTGCTTGGTAAACTACCTGGTAAACTACAAAGTGCTTTATAATCCTGTACAGTTTTGCAAATGTAAATTACCCTGTAAACTATTTTGTAAAGAGCCCCCAGGTCCGCACAGCGCGAAGTCCTTTGTACACTGTATCACTCTCTGTAAACCGTAGAGCGATTTGCCAGGTATGGAGGGGGGTGCACCCATGAGCTTCTGTAGACGAGTCAGGCCTGTACCCTGTCACTCTGCATCAGCCCCAGACCTCCCAACAGGGCCCATGTACGCAGGGAGAGGGGTGGGTGAGCACAGGCGGGCCAGACAACTGATAGTGCAGGGAGGGAGAACTGTGCTGAGAGGGTCGGACGCCGGCGCTGACCCCTGGCCCACCCCGAGACCCCGCCCCGGGGCTCCAGAGCCTCGAGTGCGGATTGGGGTGTGGGGAGTAGATGGGGAGGGCGGGGCGCTCCGAGGCCGGGCGGGGCTCAGGGGACACAGGGTCAAAGTCAGGGTTCTGCCGCCTCCTGGCGGCAGCAGGAGGAACTACTGGGGCCGCGCCCCTGGGACTCAGGGTCCGACGGATCCCGTGCGCGCACACATGTATACATTCGCGCGCGCGCACACACACACGTGCCCGCGGGCCGATCCGCGCACGCGCAGACGTCCACGCGCGCACCTACACACAGAGCCTCAGAATTCATTCACTCCCTCATCCTTTCCTTCGTGTATTCATTCATTCTCCTTTTCATTCAACAAAGGTTGACAGAATGCTTGCTAGATGTCAGCACTGGGGACGGAACAGTGGCAGGTCCAATCTACCCAGATAAAGTTGATAGAGATTAGCTACACTGGCTGGACCAGATGTGGGGAGGCCTCCCTGAGGAAGGGACATGGCCAACCAGGAACGGTGGTGGGGTGCCAGGCAGCCACAGGATGGTGGGGGAAAGGGATTCCAGGCAGAGGCTCAGTCGGTGCAGAGGCCAGAGCGGGGAGAGGGAGGGAGGCGCACAAAAGTGCCCTGAAATGATGAAGTGCTGTGCCAGGGAAGGGTTAATAGGCAGAAACCTGTCCCAGACTGGGGACCAACTTGGGGACAAAAACCAGACCTCACTTCCAGCTGAGCCGAAGATGAGAGGCGTGTGCACGAAGGCAGAGTAGAGATGGATCCCAAAGGGATCAGTGCCTCCTTCTGGGAACATGCCCCCATTTCCCATGGAGGACGAGGGAGACCTTGCTCTCAGACCCTGAGAGGTGGGTAGGTAGGTGGACTCTCCCGTGTGTTTGTTCCTCCTGGCCCGTGATTGGTTGGAGGATGACCATGTGACCTCTTCCTAGCTAAAAGATCAGCCCTGAGACGGGGGCTGGAACTTCACTAAGCTGGGGGAGCCACTGGGTCCTGCCTTGCCCTCATGAGGGAAGCATGAAGCCGAGACAGAGGAAACAAAGCTAAGCTGGACACAAATTCCTCGGGATATTAACCAGGTTCCTGGATCTAACTGTGCCTGAAGCCAGACACAGTTCTTATACAAGCAAATACATTCCTGTCTGCTAGGGAGGGTGTCAGCCCTAGCCCAGGCCTCAAGGATCACAGGATCACAGAGCCCCACTGGACCCTGGCAAGGAGGCCTTCCTTGAGCTGCCCCCCGCTCTCCTCAGAGCCCTCTCCTGGGGGCCTATACCTGTCCCCAAGCCTCAGTTCCTCCATCTCCCAAGGTGTGTGGCTTTGAGCAAGTCACTTCAGCTTTCTGGGCCTGTTTTCTCCTGTGTGAACCGGGGAGAACAATGTTACCTGCGACAGGAACACAACACCCTCGAGGAGGTGAGTGTGCCAAGGCTGATGCAACCTTCAGTGGCGGCGGGACGGGCCGTTCCCCCAGTGGATCGGGCCTGTGTCTGCTCTGTCCAGCATCCAGCACAGGGCCTGGAGCCTTGTCTGGGAGCTTCCGTGTCCTCACATGGGGAAGGGCCTGTCAAGTGCAGGGCCCTGGGGAGTTCAGCAGGCACCCCCTCCCCCAATCACACTCCCCTGGCCCTGTCCCAGGACCAAGGGGTCCTTCCGTGGGCACAGATCTTCACCAAGGAGTGGGGCTCGCCGCTATGACACATAGTCTCACACAACCTGTGTCCCACTTTTTTTTTTTTTTTTTTT